TTACTTGGCTACGAATAGGCCAGCCTAATTGCTCACTTCTAGCACTTTCTCACTCTTTTGGAACAAAAATCGTTTTTCTAACGATTCCACCATTCTTCTCGTCACAATTTCCCCCCTCAATAAACCAGTTTCAACAACATTTGCAGTGCAGTGCTGAATGTTGCTGACTCAGTGCTCTCCACGTCTGTCGACAGCCTTTTGGCAGACCGTTCACACACAGTTGAATCCATACCACCCCCAATATCGTACTTACATAATTCTATTTAAAACTTTCTATGCAGTAACGGTTCGAAGCAGTTAAGATCGGTTTTCGGTCGGGTGGAGCATGTGGGAGTTTTAGAGCCTATCATAAAAAAAGAAAAACGATGTTAAACTGGTTCAAACTGGTAACCAGCGGCAATCTTTAACGTTTCCACAGTGGCCGGGAACGTTCACTTTCGGCTGAACGACGTTTGCTCGAAAATCATTCGAGACCTCGTCCTATCCACCCAAATCTATCAATCCATGGGAGCAGGGGGCCCTGGTTATCAGAAGGTCCCCTACCAGCCTAAATTTGATTACCCAATGATTAATACCTCCCGATAGCCAGCCCAACGGTTCCACTTTTTCGGACTTCCGATATGAGAAGGGATACAAAGTAAATAGACCGAAACCTATTTCCTTAAAAGGCTGTCATTTCTGCGATAAAGTAAACCGGTCTAGTAGGTAGGCCTATAGGACCTACATTTTCCCCTTCAGTGTCCTACGGTTCGTTCCCCTCCTATTCATTTCCCTCCCGTCTTTTGATTCTCTATCGTTCCATGTCGCCGTTTTTTTTTCGGGTCGGTTATTCGTTTTCGCGAACAATGAACGTTTCGATACTATTATCTGCTGCTGACACTTCTAACTTGTAATTCTCGTCCGAAACGAAAAAAATTGCCCCAACACGTTCCCCATTTTATTTTCGTCCATCTTTTTCAGTGTGTGTGTGTGTTGGTGTGCCCCGGAGCTCATCTCGACGATTATGCCCACATACACGACGACCACCACGAGAGTCACGCGAACCACTACTGGAAATTACTACGGAGGGTTTGTGATGTCACTATATTCCATTAACTTCTTTTTAACTGTTCTAGGCATCAAATGACTGCTA